TTTAAGAAATCTGCTTGATTAAAACTAATTACCCTATGGACTTTCTTTAGTTTTAATCCATGCTCTAAATAAAACTTCAATGCTGATATATGTAATACATACTTTTTCTTATCCATAACATTTAATATTAGTTTATTTGTTTTTCATCAGATGCATCTTTTCCATAATATTTTTTATGTATTTCTTTTTGAACTGGTGAAAGCATATTCTCACTAACACTCATAATTTCTGGTGCTAATGGATAATCTCTATGTAAATCATGTAATTCTTTTGGATATTCTAAATCAACTTCTAAAATATAGCCTTTGTCATCATCATCGCTATAACTTAATACTTTCTTCTCATCCATCCTTGAAAAATACCAATTGAAATTATCAAACGGTAGTTTTTTACTCATAGCCAGACCATACAAGTTATTAGCATCTAAATAACTTATATAACTTGATGGTTTTGACAAGTCATATTGTTCATTCATGTATTTATTATTTGCTTCTACTTTTTTATGAGCACATTGAGTCATCCCGCCACGAAGACCTTTTTCAATCATTTCATACATATCTTTATTATGTATTTGTTGAAGTCTAACACCAGTCAGAGATAAAAAGGCAGACCAAGAATAATTAGGTAATGTTATGTAATGTGCAGGGTCTAATCCATAAAAATTTAAACACATATCCCTAAAGTTTTCAAACACATCACTAAGCAAATAAACATCTGTCATCAAATATAAATCATGGTATTCACCTAGGTTTTTGATATTGAAATTATCCCATATTACTTTTGCCCTTGTGTGTTGTGTATCTGTTATACCTTCTTCATATAATTTACTGTAAAAGTCTTCTATATTCGGTAATTGCGATTCATTGAATTTATCAAATGAATTCATGTAGTCGTAAGGATAAACTCCTTTTTCAGTTAATAAGTCTAAATCGGTTTTATTTCTAATATATGGATTTGCTGATGAAAATCGGAAATTATCCTTCCAGTCATTCCGCTTTTTATATATAGGTTTATCATGTTCATCTTTACCTACTATGTCATATTTATTTAACTTAACTAATTTATCCAAAGATGCTGAGAGAAAAGCCATGCTATCTTTAAACTGTAATGAACCAAATGAAAATGTAATAAACTTTTCGCTATTTTGTGCTATTACATCTATTCTCTTATTTTCGTTCAATTCCTTATTTATTTCATTTGCTTTGCCTATTATTAAGTGAGAGTCATAGTTTTTTAAATTATGAAAAAATACTGGTATCTTGAAATATCTAAATGAATAATCCAAATTACATTTTTCGTGAGCACAACCTCTATACTCACCAGTAAAATGACAGTGGTCACGAACCTTTCTTCCTTTGGAAGAAAGGGTAGTCTCGTGAGCCTCTGGCGAGGCGTCTCTGACTTTTGTATCTTCTGGTTTAAAATTCTTATTACATATTGAACATACAGTAGCTTTTCTAAATTCTGCTTCTTGTTCATCTGTAATATCCATTGGTTTATTAACATTCATTTTATCAAAAATATCTTTTTTAATTTCTCTTAATTTATTTACAAAGTGGTCTAAACAATCCTCTCCACGGTATAAAAAAGGTTGACTTGTATTATCAATAGAATTTACAACATTCAACATATAACCGCATGGTTTATGTTCCTGATACGTGCCCTTGATGCCATTATTTGAATTTACAGTTATACACTCAAAATCTCCATAAACAACAAATGGACATTTTAATTTTGTATTGTATTTTTCAAATTCAATATAACTACCTTCTTTTGGTAATTTAAACTGTTGTCCATGTGTTGCCATACAACCAGTTTCATAATGTTTTGTTAATAAATCCTTTCTAGTAAAGGCATGAGAACAATAATGACAATAATGTTTTGGTTGGTCATTTTTGTTTGTTTGCCAGTTCATTAAACGACTTAGACTTTTAATAACTACATAATGATTATTATTATTGATTTCAATTTTCAAAAGGTTTATTTGATGTTTAGCATCTCTTGTTTTAGTTCTGTAATCAATTATAATTTTCTTTTCATTCAAAGTATCATCAATTTCATAAACATTGATTGAAACTAACTTACTATTATTTTCTTCAAACCTTTCAATATCTTTATTACCAGTTGGAAATTTAACACCTTCCCAGTTTAAGATATTGTCGTTTAATTTGTTGTAATGGAACATTTCTTGGGAATTTGATTTATTAATTATATCAAACACTACACTTTGAACACTATATTTAAAACATTTGTTATCTTTGTTTTTGATATTAATACATGCCTTTTTTAGTTTAATCCATTCTGGTAAATCTATATAACTACCCGCCCTAGTTGGGTCATATTTGTCATAATGGATTGTTATTGATAATATCTTTATAAATTTTAAATTAGATGCTGAACCTTCTAACTTTTCTATGTTCAATAAAATCTCTTTGATTGATTTTTCAATTGCTTCATCCAAATCGGTTTCATTATATATGTTTGACCTTGTAGCAGGTAAATTATAAAGTATCTCTGTATGTTTTATTACTCCATCATCATCATAATAATGATAAAATAAACCTTCTGCCCTTATATTCAGTTTCATTGCTCTATTAGTTTTCAAAAAGGTCAAAAGTCTATCTTTTTGGTGGTGTATCATTGATAGTGCCTTTTCACCTTGAAAATGTTTATTTACTAGTTTTATAGAATTAGCATAACTTTTGAAAGCTGATTGTTGGTCTGTTACTTGGAATTTATTTTTGATTGCATATTTTGTCATTGCATTTTTCATTCTTTGTTTTAGGTATGTTGAGCGCAATGTTTTTGTTGCATAACTATTATACTCATTAGTTCTTGCTTCTGATTTTAATTTCTTGTTCAAAACATTTGAGATGGGTTTTTCTTTGTTGTATCTAAATTTCTACCATCTATAATTATTGATTTTAATTCCTTGTTTCCTCTTTTTGGAATTTCCGCTTTATCATTATTCAACAGATAATCTATAACATGTTTCATAATACTATACTATATAAATTTAATGTGTTTATTTCTTTAAGTGACTTTTTAGAAAATATACTTAAAGATTTAAAACCTTAATATAATAAGAGGAAAATGAACGGTGATAAAATCAATAATTATATCAATAAAAAATGCTATGATTGTTGCCACTTCAAAAAAGAAAATATGGAATTGTATAAATTAAATTTACCTAATGAAATAGTGAATAATATTATTAATTATTCAATGGATGAAGAAGATTTATGTAAAATTTGTAGAAATTGGAGATATTATCAAGAATTAATCAGATGTCTGTTGGGAATAAAAAGAATTCGACATAGAAATGTAGAAGATGATATTTTAATATTTCTAACTGTAAATAAAATACCACCTTATGATTATGTTAAACAGTTTCTTAAAATTAGTAAGAAAAAATATGAAATGATGGATGATATATTATGGTTGTTGTGTTATAGTCAAGATAAAGGAGAAGATGTTAAAGAAAATATCAAATTATTTATTGAAAGTAAAAAGTTTAATATTCAAAATACATTGAGAGATATTAATATTATTTTTAAAATGATGTATGAAAGAAGAAAGATTTGTCAATTAAATTATTATCCTGTACTGAAATTATAATCATACTATAATAATAACATGTAAAATTCTATATGTTATAATTATACTGTACTTATAGTTTGTAAAGATTGAAATATTTTATTTTTTCTTGATTTGGCTGACTCTTTCAAAGTGCGTTGTTTGAACTTGGTATGCTCTTTTGATTTTTTCGTGCTTTGGCTGTTTGTATTTTATTTTGTTTGATACTCTTCTGATATTTTTTGATGGTATGTTGCTTTGTTTTTGATTTTGTGTGTTTTTGAGTTTGGGTTCTTTGATGGTTTTTATTTTTGCTGTTTTGTTGGTATGCTTGTTTGAATTATTTAATGTTTTATGCTTTGATTAAATATTTTGTTGGGGGTTGTTCTGGTTTTTGAGTTGCTTGGTGGTTCTTATCTTGTTTTCTGTGAATTTTGCTGATTTTGTTGTATGCTGTTTGATTATTTGGGTTTGATGTTAGAAGTGCCATTTTATGTATTTTTCCCCCGCCCCCCCCCCCCCCCCCGGCCAAAAGAAAGAACAAACAAAGGAAGGTTCCCGCTCTGTTGTTTGCTTCTCCTTTTTCCTGGTTCTTTGCTTGCTTCTTGGCTTCCTTGCTCTTCCCTTGCTTGCTCCTCATCTATTTGGACTGAGGGAAGCAAAGGGTTGAGGGGAGGGACTTTCGATTGCGAGGCCTCCTTGCCGGGTTTGTAAGATTGCTATGCTAGCCAGCTGTTGACGCTGTCTGCATACGTGACCGACACATTGCCCAAGGACAGGAAACAGGGAACCTCATAATTCGTCCCGGACAAATTCATCAGGGATGCTCAACATTTTCTTTGGTCACGGAGCCTTACAATACGTGCCCGACGCATTTCCGAGGGATATCCAAGACATTTGTTGTTGGTCACGAATCTTCGTTCGCCCACCACCAAAGCAAACAAGCCAGCAACCAAACACGAGCCGGTCGGGCGGACAAATATGTCGGAATTCCTCACGTCGCGCTAGCGCTTCCGGGACTTCTGTCCATTGTTTTTCGACTCACCCCGGGAGAACACGAGCTTATCCATGAAGCGATGAAGGCTCTTGGGTTGCCAGCTGCTTCGACGGGGCACCCCATGGGATCGGCTGGGACTTTCGGACAGGGGATGTTTTTGGACCCCGGTTTCTTGGACCCCGGAAGAACAACAGGTAGAGAGTCAAGAAGCAGGTTGCGGGGACCCGTTGCGAAAACAGGATCCCTTCCCAAAAATCGGAGAATGAGATCGGTGTTGGGTGACGTCTCCTTTTCGGATGGCACTTGGTTGCCAATCCGTCTGCCGACATTTGGGGCTCCGAGACTAAGCTCGGGAATGTTGGGGGGGTTTCTGCTCGAAATGTTTCGGCCTGAGCAACCCTTCGCGGCCTTAGCATTGCGGAGCCGCGAGGCATCTTTGCAGAAGTCGAGAGCTGTCAGTCCAGCGACAGGCGGATCGCCGGATCGCCGGATCGGATCGGATCTGTTTGGCTTGGATGTTCAGGGGGGGTGTCCTTGGCAAGGCAATCACTGAGGGGAGCGCCCCCCTTGAAGATACACAGGGGTTGATTCATAGGTTAACATTAGCAAGTCATTTGTGGTCACAACTGGGACAAGCGGGGTGGTTATAGTCTGTGGCTTGAACATGCAAGAGTGCTTTTTTTGGCGCGCAGGGACAAATGGGAGTTGTTTTTCCCGAAGGGACGGCGAACAAAGACTTTGCCCAACATCACAGGGCTTTGACTTACATCCATTTGCTTAAGAGCATTTTATATTTTCCCTTGCTGGTTTTAAAGGGAATCTATCACTACTGGACATTTCTATTTCTTCCAGGGGGCAAAAACGCAAATGGAAGCTTAAGGCGAGCCACTCCTTCCACTCGGCTGCGCACGCTGGCAGAGTTGAGAAAGCTTCAGGCGGCGCGAGCAACCTGTGACCGCTTCGCTCTTTTGGGTGTTCCAACACACTTTGTTCCGCGTCTCAGCCCTCATCCCATCAACACTGGACGTGGAGGGCGGCGTCAAGCTGTTTTTTCCAATCTGAGGCGGAGGGAAGATTTTGGAGTCGTAGCACTCGCCAGGAAGTTGGAAGAGGGCCTGCGGCGCATGGACAGCCGATTGGAGCGCCTGTCTTCGCTGCAGTCGCAATGCTCAGAAGGCTGGATCGAGAGTTGGAGCTGTTGAGGACATGGTCGCTTTGTCACCAGCCACGCATTCCCAGCTGCTCACATGTTTTTTTCTTCTCCAGATTGGTGGTGTTCCGGATTCTGCTTCCGCTGTTTGTTGGAACACCTCCAGCGCGGTTTTAGTGGAGGCACCAATCTAGACCCCATGTGGGGTGGCCTTTCCCATACCTGGTGTTGACTTTGCTTCAGGATCTGCCGTGGTGGAGGGGCTTTGTAGAGTCCCGAGCCGGGCAGAGTGATCAACTTTTATTGGCCGCTGAGACTACTGGTACTCCCTGGCTTAGCGGAGGTATCTTCCAGGCAAGGGGGAGTTCGTTACAGACATCTTGTAGCCAAAGGCGCCCCCAAGCACACTCTGGGTTCGCAGTAGCGGATTTCAACTAGTCTTGAGCTAGGATTCCCTTTCAATGAAACTACGAGGGCATTCCCTCATTCCCCTACAACTAGCAAGCAATAGACCTAAAGTCAATGGGTTTACTATAACCCCATCCTCCATGTCCATGGGTTGGCAGTGTGTTCACTCACTTGGGGCCCAAACATCGCAGCCCCAAACCAATCCCAAAACATCTCTGGAAGACAAACAAATCGACCAACAAAACGAACATCCCGGATCCTCCATGCGTTTTGTTCTCCATTGTTTTGCCCTGAAAAGGGTTGGACGCGTTTTTTTCTTGTGAGCGGCCTCCATCACGCCCCCCCCCTCCCCGCCTCGAGGCCTGGTGGAGGCCAAGGCGGCGGCTCTGAGCAGCGCGGAGCGCAGCAGCCGCCAGGCGGCGGAGCTGGAGACGCGCACCGCGGAGCTTAAGGAGCCGATGCCGATTCGCCCGATTATTCTGCTCGCCGATTCGCCGAGGAAGTTCTGTCTGGTGAGCTTTAACGAAACAGAATCATTTTGTTTTGCTTTGGCTGTTTATATGTTTTCCTTTGCTTTCGACGTGGTGGGACTCATTATGTGCGCTCGTCATGTTGTTTTGCTTGGGCGTTTTGTATCGAATCACCCTTGTGCTCACCTCTATATAAATGTGTTACATACCAGCTAAGCTTTACTTGGCGCTTTGGATGGGTGGTTTGGTGATCTGAATGTCGTCGCCATGTGGGTCGCATTTCGGGCTGCCTTCATTGGTGGCCCTTTTTGGTTTGAGCCATTTGAGTCAAGTCCCTCGACCATGCTTGTTTCCACCAACCGTTTGTTTGTATTTTTCGGGGAATGGGCTCGGTTGTCAGGTCGAACTCAAGGTTGGGGGTCCCCCAATCTTCGTGCTATGTATTGGTTTTTGGTCGATGGCATTCGTAGAGTGAGTCGGGCACTTTGGGGCCTTCCAGGATTAGAGGGGGTTTGTAGGGGACCTCAAAACGGAATGCTGTCATGATCAAAAGGTCATGATGCATGTGAATTATTTAGTTACACTTCTCAAAGTTGTTTGGCTTCCCTCCGTTGACTTTCCCATCCAAACCATCTAAAGGGGATCAAGTTCCATTTTCAGACAGACCTCTTCGAGTCTCTCTCTTTTTGTTGAGCTTCGGTGCATTTTACTTGGATGTTAGGCTAACTTTTTGCCACCTAATGGGTTTTCCATTCAACCACTAAAAGTTAAACTTTTTTAGCAGGGCTTCGCAGAAAGCAACCGAGTTTTGAGGGTGTTGTTTTGGGAGGGTATTTTAAACCTCCACCTTGGGACTCCAGTTGGGCTCTGGGGCCGGGGCTCTGCCGGGGGTCTGCCGCTTGCACCAGGACCAGCTGAAAAGTCTCCGGGAGGAGCTCTCGGGGATCGGCACCAAGGACAGCTTGAGCCGCTGGATCCTTCCGCCAGACCTGTCCGCTGCCCTGTTTGTTTTTTTTGCCTGTTTTTGGAGTCCCCTTGGTTACCTTCCCCAGAAGTAGCTCCTCTTTTTTTTTTTGCCTTTTTTGGCGTTTGCTTGGTTTTCTTGAATCTGGTGCCAATCAATCCTTCCCCAGAATTAGCTCCCCTTTCTGATGTGTTTTGCCTGTTTTTGTGGGTTTTTTTCCCGCTCACCAGGCAAAACATACAGGTTTTCGTGGCTGGGGTCCGAATTCCAGCCAAGAATCTAGTGCCAATCGATCTGTAGCAGTGTGGGTGGGCCCTCCTCCAACAGTAGACCACTATGGGTGGAGGCGAAATCCGCCACGAAATGAAACCATGGATGAAAGCATCGTTTTTGTTGGTATTTAGAGGGGAATCATCATATATTTCGTCCATCTACAGTATCAATGGCAATACTTTTGTCAGTGGGTGACTTTCCCATTCTTTTCATGCATCCTTTGCAGAAAACCGCTGAGCATCAGAGACTCATGTTTGGATAGCACGACGGTTGAATCGAGAAGCCCTAGAATCAAGCGTACTGATTCCTTGCTGTTTCCCTGGTTTGGTTCTCCTTATGACCCTTGTGTACCCCATAGGTTGGCGACCCTAGTTTAAGGAGCTCCCTCCACGTTTAATTTAACAGAACCTCACTGACATGTCCTGAAAATATGTACATATCTAGATATGGTTGGGGATGTCAGATTCCCACAGAAAGCACCTAGCAAACCCACGGGTTGCTCCGGTCGTTGGAATATGACCAAAACCCACGACGGGTTTGACTTGCAAAAGGAAATCCACTGTCAAGGGTGCGCGCAAGGGCAAGGCGAGTGTTCAGGGCTGATTTCAAACCATTGGTTGAAAGCTTTGAGGCTCCACTTTTTGCGAGTCAGTTTTACCAACCTACCCTCAACGGGATCATAAATAAAAATAAACGTGTTCTACCAAAATCCTACCACGGGATCATAAATCAACGTGTTCCACAAAAAGGTGCTGCAGCTTCGGGTCATCCCACGGACCAACGTTGAATGGGTCACTGGTTAGGAGGCCAAGACCGCGGAGTCCGCGTGCCAGTTGGCGCGGAAGCAGGAGCTCCATGCGGAGGCCGAGCGAGCGCCCGGGTCTTTTTGTTTGATCTAGGTCCGCCAGTAGTGCCCTTTTACCAACTTTTTTGGGGGAGGGTTCCCCTACTAAAATAGACTACAGAAAAAAGGGTACCCTTATGTGCTATGGGTGCCGTCTCCCGCTCCCCAGCTGGGCAGCTCCCACTCTCTTTACTCAGTTTTGCTTTGACGCTACCCTTGGCTTTCCTGGCGAAGGGCCTCTCACATTTCATTCGCACAATGTCGGTTCTTTCTTGGCGCACCCGGATTTGCTTGACTGTTCTGCCGATGTTCTTCTGCTGCAGGAGGCCCGCCTTTCGGCGGACAACATTCGCACCGCCCGTTATCGGGCCCATGAGGCCAACCGCCAGCTTACCCCTGGTCCCCTCCTGCCCATCACGGCGGACGTCAATGGTGTCCGCAGAGTTGAGTGGTGGGGCCTCGCCGTCCTTTCTCAGGCGTGCGTTGTCTACGACTTCGATGTCTCGAAGGATGTTACTGGCCACCTTGGCTCCTTGCTGGCTACTGGGCGGGTTCAGGCATCGTGGGCTGTCTTTGGGAGGCTCCGCTTTCTCCTCATCAACTTCTATGGTGTGTCTGGGGCCTCCTCTGATGAGCCCACCCACCAGCACAATGATGAGCTCCTCACCAGGATACTGGACTTCGCTGCCCAATTCGTCCAGGACTTTCCTGTTGTTTTCGCCGGCGACTTCCAAGCGGACCCTCTGTCCTATGCTTCGCTTGCGGACGCTTGCAGCACGGGGGCTTGGGTCGACCCACTAGCCCCTCTGGACTGTGACGGCACCCGTGCCCCTACCTTCTGCCGCGATAAGCACTGGACCCCTGAGGTCCCTACTACCGCTATTGACACGGTCTTTCTCAGTGAGCATGCGCTCCATCTCTTGGAGCAGGCCTGCGTTACTCCGCTCTGTGGCTACCAGCACGCCTCAGTCTCGCTTACTTTCTCTGCTCCCACTGAGACCCCTCGTGCTGTTGCCTTTGCGTCCTTTGCCCCTCTGGACTTGACCGCCCTGGCTTCTCCTGCCCAGATAACTCAATGCGCGGAGGATCCGTGGCAGCAAAGCTACAGTCATGATCTCACTGAGGCTAGCAGCTCGGAGCAGGCCTGGGCCCTCTTCTCTGACTTTGCACTACGTGTGTTGGTCGACTCTGGGGCCAAGTGGGGCAGGGGGATCCGCACTCGTGGAACCCTGCCCCCTATCCGGCCCAAGCGCTCTCCCGAGGCGGCCCTGCCCCCTTCGCACCCCATCACTCTTCACACACGTCTCCTGTCTCTTGCACGGGAGCTCTTTTACCGCCTGGCTCGTCTGCCGGTCACGACTGTGCCTGATGCGGCCGTCACGTGTGCCACCATCCGGCGGTTCCGCCGGCTTGCGCGCGACCTTCGATTTCCCCTGAACTCTGAGGATCTCACACCTGGCGGCTCTGCCCATCTCTGTGAGAGAATTGAGTGCCGCCTCCAGGAAGTCACTCGTCAAAGGCAACGCGCCTCCTACCGCCGGTGGAAGGAGCGCCTCCGTCACTCCGCCCTGCATACTGGGAAGGCTGTGTTTCAACACCTCGCCAGGGCGGCAACCACGTCCTCCCCCAATCTCCTTGCCGGGCAGGATGGCCTGCCTGCCTACCATCCTGCGGATGCACTTGAGCATGCCGCCCAGCAGTGGAACACTGTCTTTGCTGTCCACGCTGATGGCATTCCGGTCGAGCCGCTCATGAGGCCTATTCAACACCTGCTCGAGCAACGGGCTACGCCCCTTGACCTCCCGGCTGTCACGCCGGAGGATCTGGCTCGCTCCATCTGTGCTCGGAGTGTGGACTCCTCTGCTGGCCTTGATGGTTGGTCCGCACGGGAGCTCCAGGCTCTCCCGCTTCGGGTGCTGCAGGTCCTTGCCACACTCTTCAACAAGGTTGAGGCGGGTTTGTGGGCTATGCCCCGTATCTTTGGCACGGCCAGACTGGCGGTGCTTGACAAAGGAGCGGGCCCCAGCCCCCTATCCAAACGCCTCATCGCTGTCCTTCCCATCTCTTACCTTGCATGGTCCTCGGCTAGGTTCCGTGCTTCCTCTGCGTGGCAACGCCTTGTACTCCCCGCTGAAGTCTGTGGCGGAGTCAGTGGCCGCCGGGTGGATGACATCACCCATCACCTTGCTCTTGATCTTCATGAGGCCAAGGCGACCAATGAGGTCTTTGCAGGCATCCAGATCGACCGCTCCAAGTGCTTCGACCGCCTGCTCCCCAGCCACACTGTTGCTCTCCTTGTGGCCTTGGGCTTCCCAGCCTCTGTGGCCAATGCGTGGCGCTCCAATTACTGCGACTTCAGGCGCTATCTCTCCTGGCGGGGAGCCATCCACCCTACTCCCTTGGCCAACTGCAATGGCATCGCTCAGGGCTGCTCTCTCTCGGTCCTGGCAGCGAATGTCTTGATGGCGGCTTGGGCCCTTCTTATCAGGCACTTCCCGGGGGTTGAACCGGCTACATGTCTGTCTCCTCGCCTGATGCCATTCCCTCCCTGGTGGAGGCGGTCAGGGCTACGTCCCTATTTGACGGCCTCTCGGCAAGTCTGGATGGTGGACTACTCATGAGTCACCTGCCTCGCAGCTCCAGGCTGCCCTCCCCGGTGCACCACGCCTGCGCTCTCTGCGGCCACTCGGCGTGTGCATCAACTTGGACTTGCGCGGCACTAAGGATGCCCGGGCTCCTGCAGTTGCTCGTTTCCGGGCTGCCCTCAGGGCCATCCGGGTGTTCCCTCTCCCCCTTTGCCAAAGCCACCTTTGTTGCTCGCAAGGCCATGCCCATGCTTACCTACTCGGCGGAACTCAATTTCGTCCCCCGTGGGCTCCTGTCCTCCTTGGCCACTGAGGTCGCGGGGGTCCTGTGGGACGGTCGGCCTGGCTGGCGTTCCCGTGAGTTGCTCCTTGCGGTCGTCCATCAGGGTCATCTGGTACACCCTGAGTACGCCATGGCGTACCGCGCCGTACTCAATGTGGCCTCCCACCTCCAGCGCTCGGAGAAGTTCGCCATCCAGTGGCGCATCGCCTTACTAATCCCAGGATTATGCCTTCCACGCTCGTTTCCAACGTGATCGCCGCGGTCACTCTGTGTGGCTTGCGCTTTCGGGCTCCTGCAGATGTCGCTCTCGCTTCGGGACCATGGATGTCCCTCTTCAGTGTCTCCCTTCGCTCCCTGGCAAGGCTTCTGCAGTGGACCATTGCGCAGCATGCTTACCAGCGTGCCTGCCGTGGCAAGCGTGCAGATATCGTCTCGGGGCCGTCCGGCCTCGTTGGAGCTCCTTTGTCCGTGCTTTCCCTTCCAACCGTGCGGTGGCCCCTGCTGTGGTTGTCGGCTCTGCAGCCACGGCTGACCGGCTTTATGCCTCCAACCTGGCTGCTTCTCCTGGCTGTCGCTTCTGTGATGGTGCTGATGAGACGCTGGCACACCTTGTGCAGTGCGGTGCTCTCCACGCTCGCATCGGTCCACCACCTGCCCAGCGTGAGGACCAGGGCCCTTCCTTCTACACTCATGCCCTGGCTGAAATCCCTGCGGACCTTGCCCATGCCACCCTCCGGGCCGTGCCCTGGCCTGATACCACCCCGCTACCCAGGTACGGTGGTGGGGATGTCCACCTGTGGACTGATGGCAGTGTCTACTTGCCCCACCACTTGCTCTTCGCTGCTGCCGGCTTTGCTGTTGTGAGTGCCTCTGCTGGTGTGTGCGCTTCTGGTCCCCGGAACGGGCCCCCTGGCGGACAACTACCGTGCTGAGGTCTACGCTATCCTGCATGCCGCCCAGCTTGCTCGTGGTCGGCTCACTGTTCACACCGACTCCCAAGCTGCCGTCAGCGCCTGGCATGGTTTTCACTTGAGGGGGTGTGTCCCTCCCAATGCTGCAGCGGCTGACCTCTGGTTATCCCTCTGGGATTTGGTTAGTCTGCGTGCCGCCTCCGGGTTTACTCTGACCCTCCACTGGATCCGGGGACACCTGCCTCTCAACCAGTGCCCTGGCTCGGTTGAGCTCTTGCATGCGCGTTGTAATCATGCGGCTGACCATGCGGCCAAGCGCGCTGCGCGTGCTTCCCTTGCATGCCTGTCTGTCGCATGTCTGCCCTGTTTTTCTCTGCCTACAGGCGCCATCGCTGGCTCCAGCAGCTCTTCCTTGCCTTGGCGGCCACCCCTGTTCCTCCTCCGCCCCCGGAGCCCCCTGATCCCGAGGTGCCCCCCCCTGAGGCCCCCGTTGCCCTAGGGTTAGGTGTAGAGACTGAGCCTTGCCATGTGCTGCAAGTTGAGAAGCTCCTCGCCAAGCCGCGGGACTGGACTCATGGTTCGCTGCAGTGGTGGGCCTGGAACAAGGCCTTGAGCTCCGCTATGTGGACAGTTCGCGGTAGCCTGGTTTGGAGGCTGCACTGCTCTTTTGGCGGCGCAGCCCTGGCATTGTCAGGTATGCTGGCGGTGCGGCCACTGCCCGTGGCCTCTTGGTGCACTTCAAGGCTGTGAGGAAGTGCATCGTCCGGCGCAACCCGGATGCCTTCCCCCGCGGTTGGGAGCCGCGGCTTGGCCGCTATGCTGGGGTCACCTGGCCGCGTGGAGCTTGGCCTGACGTCTACCTTCAGCGCACCGATGCGGAGCACAAGTGGCTTCAGCGGGTCCTACTCCGGGCCTCCCGCCTTGGCAGAGTACCCAGAGACTGGGAATTCTCGCTGGGCGCTGTTGCGTGATGGGGGCCTGCAGCCCTGGGCTTCGCGTGCTGGGGCTTCCTCGTGACCCTGGCCTACAGTCAGCTACTTCCGGAACTTTGTGCACGCCCCGCTCCCCAGGCACCCCTTCTGGGGGTGGCTGGTGGGCCGGGCATCGACTTTGAGATGTGCCCACCAGTGGACAGGGGGTCCCACCCCCTTTCCACTGGTGGTTGGCCTGCTCACACCCCCAGTTGAGTCTCTCCTGGGGGTCTGTGTGCGGGGCTCCTGCCCCACTTTTCACCGGTAGTAGGGCGGCATGCCCTACGACCCACGCGACAGACATTCGTGCGTCACGAGCCAAAAGGGTACCCTTATTCTCACCTTTTTATTGGAAGACCTAGAGATGAAAGGCGATGACGGTCGTTTGTAGCCAAAGACGGCAGAATCAATGAACCCACCAAGCCAGTGGACACACATTTGACACGTTTTTTCCGTTGGCTCTCCCTTTGTTGCAGCGGTGGCCCAAAAAGTGGTGGCACTTTTTTTGGGCTGGTCACTGGCCAAGTGAGTTAAGATCAATCCCGAAAGGAAGGCCTAGGGTGAAGCTTTCTTTGCCCGGAGTTTCTATGTAGCGAGTGGGAAGTCTAGATGCTGTGATGCTGAGAGGCTGCTTGACAGAGCATGAAACTAAGAGGGATATTGAAGGGGGACACCCCGTGGCGCTTCCTACCAAAGTGAATGAACCTGATCTAGTTGTTTCTCGAGTTGGGGGGTCACTAAAATAGCTCGTTTCCTCGGGACGAAGCCATACAGGAAGTAAGCATAAGTATGTCAAGTACCTTTAAAGAGCAGGTGTTTGGGGTTCACTTCCCCTACATTTTCTGGGGGCTTCTAAACATTTGGCTAGTCCTCAGACCACCTAAGTGAAGGAATGAAAACAAAAGAAGACAATACGGATGGACGAAATCCATTTCGCACCAGCTGGAATGTATGAAACCCTATGAAGAATGGAACAACCTATCAACAGATGCAGGATTCCGTTCAACATGAGACGACAAGTTATACCCTCCGGGTGTGGTCACGGACCCCCCCCGTTGGTTGGTATAGGCTTGGTCATCGACCCCATGGGACGTTTGGATGGTAAGGATTTCTATTTGAAGGAACCATGGCCGCGCTCACCTCTCAGACATCGGAAGTTTGGACAACCCAAGGATTCCCACGGTGGATTCTCACGAGAACAAGGGAAATACAGTAAGTTCCCGTTTGGGTGTGTCTTTTTTTGAGGGTTCCAACATTTTTGTGTTTTTGGAGATGAAAAAGCTGCGCGCCATCTTGTGAGGTCCAACCCAAGAAAAAAAAACCATTGGTGCGCAGGGTTTACTTGCAATATTGTGGATGGTTGAAATCGAAATCCGGAAATCGCACCACAAAATGAAGCACCATGGTTGAAACCATTCTTGGTTGGTTTTTACGTTGGGGGATCGAGTCAGAAACAAGGGTTCTGAACGGTGGCGCGGTTTGTGAATTTGGCAACCATTGGCCCCCCCACTTCCCCACTTCTGGACCTTTTTGCTACTGCACTTCGGGGATTACGGTAAGTGGCCCCCCCCCCGAGGTACATGCCAACGTACCGTGGATGGACGAAATCCTGTACCGCCTGACAAACCCTGTTTTCTGATGACTCCCCTGTAAATGCCCCAGCAAACCTTATGGTTTCAACCACGGTGACTCATTTCGTGGTGCGGTTTTACGGATTTCGATTTCCGCCGTCCAGCATGGTGTGCCGGTATTGGCAGGGGAGTCCTCCTTCCATGGTGTCTTAGGTGCGGCGTATGGAGGGCGATTTCAAGCATCCGCATGGATCGAAGGGGTTCGCGGCGGCCGACTAGGCCGCCTCAGAGCTGCGGCGCTTGGTGGAGGCGATGCGGGGCCGCCAGGCTGGAGCCCTGGATCTGGCGATCGCCGGGGCCAAAACCCGGCGGAGATGTCCGGCGAAAGCGGTCTGAACGTGGCGCGGATCGGTTTTACCTGCTTCTTGTTTTTGTTTGGCTGGGAAACTCCAACTTTACAAGCCGGCAAAAGAGGGGGAACTCCAAAAAAAGAACCATTTGCAGAGAAGCGCTCACCTGTTTCAGGGTTGATTGAAAGGGCAAGCCTTGTTTGTTTTGGGAGCGACTTCCCCCAATTTTGTCCCCTTTTGCAATTCGGGGAAGTCGGCATCGGAAGCGTGAATTTTGTTGGCCCAACAGGGCAGCAGGTTGCAGGAGGCTTCTCAGGTTCCGAGAAGTTGGGACCGAGTCAGTCCCGGAAGGATTGATCCAGCCGCTTGTGGCACGGAAAAGGAAAGCATGTGAGAGAGGGTGCCTAGTAGACAAATGTCCTTAATGGACCCTACTGTGGATGGTTGAAATCGAACTCCATTTTCGCACAACGAACTGAAACCATCGTTGAGACCGGTTTTTGTTGGTATCTCCGTTGGGGAATTGTTCATCAGACACCAGCGGTTCTCGTGCCGCTGGTGCGACATTTTCGCCGCCCTCGGCAATAATTTTGGGGCATCCACCGAGGGAAATCCGGCCCAGCGCCAGGGCTCCAGTTGCCATCTCGCCGGCTCAGGAGTTGCTGGAGCGCCAGGGCGGCGAGAGCGGGGCGGCGCTGCAGGCGTGGAAACGGATGGTTTGGTTTGGTTTGGGTTGGGTTGGGGGTTGAGTTGGGTTGGTCTGACTTTGGGTTGGGTTGGGTTGGGTTTGGGTTGGGTTTGCGTGGTTGGTTTGGTTTGGTTTGGATCCCGGGCAAGTTGCAGCGACCTCGCTACATGTTCATTGGGTGCCGGGGTCAACTAACATTCTCACTCCCTGAGTTCCCGAACTTTAGACTTTTGGGCAAGCTTGGACTTTTTTGCCCATCCACTCAGGAGGTGAGCATCCGTGGGTGCGCACAAGGAGCCAAAGGTTTTTGGCTAGACCCACCCCTACTTAAGTTCACCAGCCTGGTAGAGAAGGTAACGTTGGTTGGTGCTGGAACATCTTCATAGCTGACATGAGTTGATTGGTTGAGTTGGTGGGACCTCACAACAGGAGCGACCTCGCGGAGTTCTTTCGAACATTGGTTGAATGGGTGGGACCTCAAAAAGGATTTAACGCGCGCGACAAAATCACTGGGGAACGTTCCTTGCACAGGTCTAGAACAGATTGGTTGCAGTGTTTTGTAGTTCTTTGGAATTGTTGTTTTTTTCTTCTTTGGTTATCTCTTTTCTGGCACTGGCACCCTCTTTTTGTTGTTGTTGTGCTAAGAAGGGAACTTTTAAGGGAACCGGCGGCTCAAAAAAGGTTGGACCACCCGCTGTGAGCCGTGGGGTCTTTCAGCTCTCGGGACCGACCCAGGCGCTGCGAGTTTCTGAGTCGGAGAACGGCCAGCAGTTGGAGCGGGTGCTGAAGATGTGCGGGGAGCTGTCGGACGCCAGGATAGGCGCGGGCGCTGGGCCCCCCTTTGTAGCGGGCGGCAGTTTGACCCCCTCAAATCTTCGTTTGGGGTGGTTTTCCTTTAGACTACCCTTTAGCGTGGTGACGTGGTGTTCCTTTTTGTTCACCAATTGCAAGTTGCAAGGATGTTGATTTGACTCAGTACCAACCCCGGCCTGAAACTTTGACCCGCCAGCTTCCCATGCCCCCGGCTTCCCTCCGCTTCCCTTTCCTAGGCATGAAGGTTCAATCATGGGGATGCCTTGCTCTTGGCGGGGGACAAAAGTTAATTCGGCCCCGGACAATCTGTGGTTGTGTTACTCTCAGTTTGTGAGGCAGAGAGTGCTGTCAAGGTGGCAGAGAGCGTGTGCCAGATTCCAAGCTTGACTGGGAAAGCAGGGTAAGAGTGTCGCAACCACATCCTTGTCAAGTGAGTCACAAGCAAACTGGGGTAAGTGTAGGTTTACCGGGAACCCTTTTGAATCTTCAAACGGTTTCGGGTTGAATCTTTTATATTGCACCAGGTGAGCACGGTTCAAAGCCAAACAGGCGGCGCCACAATGCCGTGTAAGTGTGTGGCGCAAGTGCACTGGCGTGGGTGATTGCTCGTGCAAGCTCGCGCAATCGGCACAAGAGTTCCTTGATTCGCGCGGTTTCCTGTCGGTTTCCCCTTAAACCACCAAACAAGGGTACAGTGGTTGGTGTATATGAATCCCAACCTGAATGTCCAGAGGGCCCCACTTAAAATTCACAGCCACAAACGCGGTTTTTGCCAAGAAAGGACACACCCTTTGGCTGTGGCTCCAAATGAACCAAAATGGCACCTGGTGAATGGAGCCAACAACGAAACCTGCGTAACCCTGGCCGTTTAATTTTGAGCCACACCCAAACAATATCGAGCTTTGCGCTGCACGAGGCATGGTGACCGAAGTGGAGAATTGCCGTGCCATCCAGAGGCCTTCCAGATGGGACTTCGGGGGCCTTTCGGTGACACAAAATCCACGCCGATTTCGGCATCAGCTCGGATGGATCAAGCCTCATGGAAATGTCGACCCCATATGAATCAACCCCAGTTGAGCATTGGGGGTGTGTCCGTGGATTTGGTGCAGAATCATCACTTTTGGAGCGGAACACCCCCTATACTGGGGTTGATTAATACGGGGTCAGCATTCCTGGGATAGCTTCTCGCTCAAACTGGACAACTCCAGGCCTCCGCCCAAAGAGGACGACAATGCCTCCCACTCAAGTCCAAAAAAGCCTCGATTTCCGTCCATTGTTGTGCACCGAATGTTTCGGGCTAACAGTTGGCCACCAAGTGGTGGATTGTGTCAATCCACAGGTTTTGTTGTTTCACTTGGCAAGCATGTAATCGGCTGACGATGCTTTCCATTGCCTTTCCAAATCTCTCTCCACCTTTTGATTCCTAGTGGTTTCCTGCCTTTCTCCTCCAAGAAGTACGTATGGAGTTTGAACACGGTGTCTACACATTGGGCGTGTCTTTTTTTCCTCAGAGTATCCCGGTTGGATTTGTTTAGGCAGCGAGATATATTTGCACATTTACACAACCCGTAGCTCAGTTGATTTGGGATTCACGTTTTTGTTGGCTGCCAACCGGAGGCTGCATCCACACTGCCCAAAGCACATGATCAAGACACCTGCTAATAAAACAATATCCACAAGAAGAACCACAGCACCCACAATGAAACACAGACCAATGCCACCCACAATTTGGCCTGCGCTTGGGCAAGTATGTTTACATGAATCCGCGCTGATTTTTTAGAGAAACGGGATACTCAGATAGCCCATCCAAGCTGTTGAATGACTCGATTCGGGCAGAGCGTGAGCTGAAACAGTGGCAGCTGATTCGGGCCGCTCCTGCAGTCTTCCGGGCCTGATTTCCCTCTTTTCGGTATCGTTTTAGTGCCGCTTGCGGGGTTATTTTCAGGTTTCCCTGAATTGGCCTTGTGGGTAAATATGGAAACCACCCAACCTAAACCATCAATCCACAACTCCAAGTGGAGGGACGCCGAATTTTGGCGCTTTCGCAGGCAACTGGAAGACGCCTTGCGGCGCGTAGATGCGCGGCTGGAGTCTGTGTCCTCTGTGGCAGCCCAGTGCTCCGGAGGCTCAGCCTTGTGGTCTGCCATTTCCTGTGTCTTTTTGTCGTTGTGGGTTTCCCTTGGCCTCACCGAAAGGGGGTGCGCTGCTCGCCTGCTCGCTCACTGGTACAGTCGTAGACATGGGAATTTGCAGGGTCTTCGTATCACAGGCCTTCCTCGCTCAGAGCCAAGCTCACGAACTACAGGAATATTGAACTTGTTGGCGATAGAAACACAGAGCACGGATGCGAACATGTTGTTTTTTCAGAAAAAATACAGCGGCAACACCACGAATCTGGCTGCCAGGAACCTTTGGGCTGGCAGTTAGCTAAGTGAGTTGGAAAAAAAGGCCAGAGTTTCGGGATCAAACAACACCTCCGGGAGAGAAGGGGAAGGGGATTCCCCTCCTCCTGTCCTCCTCGACGAAGTAGTGTAGTCATTGGGCTGGCCACTTTGGTATGGCAGATTTCGGGTCATTTCCCACAGCCAAGGCCATTGGTGACAGGTATCACGAGGCTGTCTCAGCCAAAGACAACTTTCCAACAAAGCTGAACCAGTGGCACGGACCAGTTTCCTCCTCCTTCTCCTCTCCTCCTCCTTCCCACTTGGTGTGTTTTCCGATTGGTTCTCTTCAAACCAGCCCAGGAGAGGTATCTTCAAAGCAACAAAAGCAGGCGAGTGATGTCCCTTGCATTTCCTTTCCTTTCCTTGTGAGGTTCAGGGGTAGATGACTTTCGCTTGGATGGTTGTCTTCCAAAATTGGATGGCTTTGCTTTAGTTTCTCTTGAGCCACCGTGTGGGACCACCAAGACCCTGAAGCTTTCCCATCCGAGTTCATTTGTGGGATGATATCCATTTTAGGGCCTCCTCCAAACACATCTCAACAACATCCCAACAGAGATCGTTTCCTTTCTCCCAAACCTCGTGCCTTCCACTTTTCCCTCAACCCCAACTATCCATCCAAGTCATCTTCAGCCCCTCCCGCTTGTTTTCGTCCACTTTCAGGGTACCTCCGCATTTTCCCCCGGCCAAAAACCAAAATCCGCTCGACTCCGCTTCCGACTCCGCTTCCGACTCCGCGCCTCCGAAGCCGCGAAGCCGCGAAGCCGTGCGCCAGGGCTGGTGGACGCCAAGGCCTTCGCGCAGAGTGCGGCGGAGAAGGCCTTGGCCAACTCCAAGGAGCTCTTGGAGCTCAAGGCCTCCGAGCTGAAGGCGGGGGGGGGGTTGGGGGTGGGTGCGGGGTTGCGGGGTGGGGGGTGGCGTTTTGCGGGGGTTGGGGGCTGCGGGGGATTGCTCATGCGGCCACAGGCGGCGCTGGTGGGGGGATTGCTCATGCGGCAACATAAAGTTCGGGGCCAAGGATTTTGGCTTTCTTATTACCGAGCCATGACCAAACAAGTGGACTCCCCCTTCCCCCCCCCCCCCCCCCGAATTCTGCGCGTTGCTTTTCAAATTCATGCGTGCTTCTGTCCGGTTGATATCTCATTCCTTTCCTCAACCAATATGCTTCTTTGCGCTGAACTCGTTTGAACTGTTGATTCTTTTGGGATCCACGGGCAATGTGCATGGTTCAGCAGGATACAGGGGTCATCCTGAGACCCTTTGATATTTAAATCCTTTCCTGGGCTCCATGCGTTCGCGACAAATCCAAGTTGTTGGTGATTTTGATAATCTCCCTGTCATGTGAGTCCATCTGTGCAATCCGCTAAATGTTTTTTTTACGAAAGGTACCATGCATCGCGCCAGCGCGTGACCGTGTGTGTGTGTGTGTGGGTGTGTGCGCGTTTAAACTATCTCAGGGCCCACAGTTCTTTAACCCATCTAGGGTCCTCTACCCCCTCCCTTCGATGAACATGGAAATCCAGCAACCTGCAACGGAGGAGTCTCCTGTTGGGTGAAGTTTGTTGAGGTTGTTGACGGAACTCAAGTAGCCTGCATCGGAGGAATCTCCTGTTGGGTGACCCGGTTTTGAGGGTTTGAATTCTTGCCAAGGGGCCAGTGCCAAAGCGAGGGCTCGGCGTTTTGTTTTTTTGCCAGGAGCTGGTGGAGAAGCGGGCGACGGAGGCCACGGGGAAACTCGAGGCCGGGCGTCGCGTCGTCTCATCGCGCGGGGGCGCGGCGTCGTTGGGCCCCGGCGCGCTGAGACGTGGACATCCGGGGTAAACCTACCAGCTGGCGCAGGAATTTGGCCATCAGTGTGGGTTTGCCGGTTTGCCTCAGTGGGGTCCAGGCATTGTTGGTTTCGTTTTGGAGCCCTGAGCCGGCGGAAGCGCCAAAACAGGACACGGCCTGGAGAATAGGCTTCTCTTGAAACCAGGGGCCTTTCTGCCCTCGTGCGCTGCTTGCGAAATGGCCCACTGGCTCAGCTTCAAACAAGAAGCATGTCGACCTCAGGCTCGATCCGCTGTTGACTTCTTTTCACTGGCCAGAACAGTCGCCGAGGCCGTGACATGGGAACGCAATCAAGTGTGGACCAGACTCGCCCACATGCTGTTTTGGTTGGTTGGCTCATTGCGATTTCCTGGCGGCGCCGGGCTCGTGTTTTCAGATCTTGTTGCGCTTTGCTTCTTTACGCGCAGTGCATGCGATCCTTGAACCAAGGCAATTCTTGACAAGCTTCCTCTAGTTATTGCATGTTCAATCCTAGTTTGCTTCAAGCTATTGACTTTGAACTATAGTTTGCCATTTTGTCTTTAGGAGATTTCCCAGGCTCACCAGTGAGTGGAGTGAGTGAGAGAAATTGAGACAGCCCTCCTTTCCAACCCCTTTTCCAACCTCTCGGCTTAAGGCAGGTAAGTGTTTGAGTGATGACCCGTTCCCCTTGGCTTTCTCATTTGGTTCCTTGACGAGTAGAAGGAAGCCACGGGAGTGAGTGCTCCATGTCCAAGCTGCCAGCTGCCAGCTGCTAGCTGCCAGCTGCCTTGAGAAACAAACGGCCAACCCAAACTTTCTACTTCCCTTACTGGTTTTGAAAGGTGCTGGATCCATAGTTGTAACCTCCCCCCTTTCGCTTGGTCATAAGCGTGCCCTTAAGGCGCGGGGATCGTATGACCATGAAACATGTCGAAGCAACGTTGTTCAACAATCAGCCTCCATGATTGTTGATTTGGGTGGATGTTGGATCCACAAGTGGGGTAGTCCCAACCTGAATATGTCCAGGGCGTATGTTGACTTGAAAACCAAAGAACCCCTTCCGGTTACAAAGTGCAGCACCTTGCCAGACCCAGGGCCGACCTCAACAAGCGGTTAGCATGTTCAATGAGTCAGGCAGAATGCCCCTGCCCCAGCAAAGGTTTCAGAATCTTTATAAGGGCTCTGAGAATATCAGGTGTCCCTCGGTGGTTTGGATTGGTGGTTTGGATTTGGACTTGAATCCCTTTAGAAACCCTCAACCATCAAACCACCGGGCTCCAAACAATTAACCGCTCACCAGAGCCATTAGCCATCAACCCCCTGAACCCCTGAACCATCAAACCAGAAAAGGGGGGAGGGCCGTGACCTCCTTTCGAAGGTCTCAGGGCTCCACCCCCCGCCGGGGGTCCTGCGGCCTTCGGCCAGGCGCTGAAAGCCGCCGACGCGGAGCAGCGCTCGCAGCTGGAGCAGCTGGGCCGCGGCTGCGCGGAGCTGTCGGAGCACCGGAGAGGCCGAAGCTCGGAATCCTCGGACGAGACGTGGCTTTGAACGTTTTTTGGCACCGACAGCGATATCAGGGTTCCTGGTGAACCCAAAGGTCCACGAAGATGGGTAAAGGTTTCGTGTTTTTTGTTTTCCCCCATCTGTTTTTTTTCTTTCTCGACAAGGGGTGGGCCCAAATTGTGTTGGTCCTTGAGGCTTATCATGAGGGGCGTATCAAGCTTTGGGACAACCCTCTTCTTTTGGTTTAGAGAATTCGCAGTGGCTCTTTTTCCCGAAAGCATCGCGAAGGGTTCTTCCGTGCGGAGCCCTTGGACAAGTTACATAGAGCCAAGTTACATAGAGCCAAGTTACATAGAGCCAAGTTACATAGAGCCAAGTTACACAGAGCCAAGTTACATAGAGCCAAGTTACATAGAGCCAAGTTACATAGAGCCAAGTTACATAGAGCCAAGTTACATAGAGCCAAGTTACATAGAGCCAAGTTACATAGAGCCAAGTTACATAGAGCCAAGTTACATAGAGCCAAGTTACATAGAGCCAAGTTACATAGAGCCAAGTTACATAGAGCCAAGTTACATAGAGCCAAGTTACATAGAGCCAAGTTACATAGAGCCAAGTTACATAGAGCCAAGTTACATAGAGCCAAGTTACATAGAGCCAAGTTACATAGAGCCAAGTTACATAGAGCCAAGTTACATAGAGCCAAGTTACATAGAGCCAAGTTACATAGAGCCAAGTTACATAGAGCCAAGTTACATAGCCAAGAGCCAAGTTACATAGAGCCAAGTTACATAGAGCCAAGTTACATAGAGCCAAGTTACATAGAGCCAAGTTACATAGAGCCAAGTTACATAGAGCCAAGGTTAGGTAGAGCTTAGAGCTTCGGCGTTAGCAGCTATGTAAGTTAGTTTAGGTTTCTAAGGCGCCGGGGCGGGAGTTTGATCGTCGCTCGGGATTGCGACCCTCTGCGGAGATTCGCGTGGTCGAGGTTTAAAAACTGGGACTTTTTACAATTTTTAGCATGCGCGCGCGACCCTCTGCGGAGATTCGCGTGGTCGAGGTTCGGAGATTCGCGTGGTCGAGGTTCAAAAACTGCGGACTTTTTACGATTTCTGCTGGCCGCGCGCGACCCTCTGCGGAGATTCGCGTGGTCGAGGTTCAATAACTGAGGACTTCTTACGTTTTTTAGCATGCGCGCGCGACCCTCTGCGGAGATTCGCGTGGTCGAGGTTCAAAAACTGAGGATTTTTAACGATTTCTGCGGTGCGCGCGCGACCCTCTGCGGAGATTCGCGTGGTCGAGGTTCAAAAACTGCGGACTTTTTACGATTTCTGCGGTGCGCGCGCGACCCTCTGCGGAGATTCTGCGTGTCGAAGCGCTCTCGCTGTGGCGCCGTGCAATATTCTTGCTCGCGAAACGGCTTTTGGAAGTTGTCTCGTGGTTTGCGCGCCTGCTTTCGCAATCCCGCGGTCGCGGCGGGTTCGATTCCCCCCTGGTCCGCGGCCGGCTGGAAAATCGCAGCTTTTAAGTACAAACGTAGTATGCGGAGCGTGCTCCTGCAGCTCCGGCTACAAACGTAGTACGCGGAGCGTGCTCCTGCAGCTCCGGGTGGAAAATCGCAATTTTTAAGTACAGACGTAGTATGCGGAGCGTGCTCCCGCAGCTCAGGGCTGGAAAATCGCAACTTTTAAGTACAAACGTAGCACGCGGAGCACACCCCCGCAGCTCCGGCTGGAAAATGGCAACTTTTAAGTACAAACGTAGTACGCGGAGCACACCCCCGCAGCTCCGGCAGCACTTGCACGGAGCAACTTGCGCAGAGTCACTTGCGCAGAGCAACTTGCGCAGAGCAAGTTGCACAGAGCAATTGTACAAAGCACTTGCGCAGAGCAACTTGCACAGACCAACTTGCACAGAGCACATGCGCAAAGCGCTTGCACGGAGCAACTGGCGCAGAGCCCTTGCGCAGAGCAACTTGCTCAGAGCACTTGCGCAGAGCAACTTGCACAGAGCAGGCGCAGAGCAACTTGCACAGACCAACTTGCGCAGAGCACATGCGCAAAGCGCTTGCGCGGAGCAACTGGCGCAGAGCACTTGCGCAGAGCAACTTGCTCAGAGCACTTGCGCAGAGCAACTTGCACAGAGCACTTGCGCGCAGCAGCTTGCAGAGAGCAACTTGCGCGCAGCAGCCTGGAACAATGCAGCTTGCGCAGACCACTTTCGTGAGAAATCGCGCGGCGCAGTTCGAGAGGAAAGTAGGATGATGAGATGGAGCTCTCATGTGACCATACACACTGAGCATCGCCGCGCGCAGACACGCTCGCCGCAGCGATGTAAAAAGGTGTCTCCGCGGCTGGATGAGCACCTGTGGAAAAATGCTTTCGGGCCAATCGTCCTCTAGTTTTAGAATTCGCATTGGCTCTTTTTTTTGTTCTTCTTTTTCTGAGGGTGCCTCTTTTGAGGTTTGAGCTGGACAAGGAGAACGCCTGTGGTGCATGGGGGGCTTGGTTTGGGCCAAGGTCCTTCACGGATGTGGCGAACGTTTGCTCCGGTCCTTTAGGTTGACGCAGCACTTTAGGTTGACGCTTCCAAATGGCCCAGGAAAATTTTCTGCTTCCCTCTTCCAGATACCCAAGAAGCCCAGAAGCTGATACCTGGCTGGCAACAACATCATTTGTTGAGGTTTTGGCCCATACTGTGGCTGGACGAAATCCATTTGGCACCACCTAAGAAACCCCGGAATGATGATTCCCTTGTAAATACCAACAAACAGTGGTTTCACCCATGGCTTCTCAGGTGGTGCGAACAGATTTCGTCCATCCACAGTATTTGCGGGAGATGTGGGTTTCGGTTGCCACTTCCCCAGACAACGAGGGAATCTACTTGAAAGTGGTAAACTGGCCCTGGGGAAAGGAATCCCAAATTGGAATCGCAGAATGGGTGATTTCCACTACCATTGTTTGGGCCACCAAAAGGTCAGTTTGCGGCATCTTCAACAGGGGGGTAGCCATCACACCAGCTACACACATGTTTGTTTCTTTTAAGAAAATATGACGTGAGGTAAATGGCTTCCATTTTTTGGTTCGGAGACAAGCGCTACAGCCGGGGGTGAAGAAGTAGGGCGGCTTTGATGGTGTGGCCCGAGTGTGGACGAATCAGTATGCCCTCGAGCAGTTGCCCGCCGGCAGATCGCATAGTCTGAAAAAAACGGCAACGTGGGTGGGAGGGCAGTGGCTTTCAGGTTGGAATTTGAGGGTGGGGGGTAACTTTGCAAGGAAAGGGGCACCGGCTCCGGAGACCCTTGGTGTTCTCTGCAGGCATGCAGGCCGAGCTGGAGCAGTGCCGGACTGGCCAGAGGCACGCGGCACCTGATGTGTATGAACAAACTTATCTCCCTTGGTCCGTTAAAGTGGGGGACCTTGGGGGAACTCGCACAGTTTCCGAAAGAAACCAGGGGACTCGCCAATTCTCCTACGTTTCTTTTGTTGGTTGTTGATGGCTTTTTTTGGGTCTGCTGCTGCTGCTCCTGCTGATAGACAATCCGAAAATGGGGGCATTTAACACCCCCAGATCAGCGAGCAGTTGGCACCGAACAGAGCACATTATTTGAATGGGTCCAGCTGGCACTTGTCACCGTTGTCTGATGTGGGATTGCTGCTTTTTTCGTCATCCACCATTCCACCAAGAACCGAACCACCGCGCCGCCACCATCCCCCAAACCTCCACAAGCCTACTGCTAGCTTCTTGCGACGCCATTCAGGGTTGAGCTGTCCATTCCGTTCGAGTTGAAGGTGCCTTGATTCAGGGGCCTTCCGCGAAGGAAGACCTTTGTGAACTGATCAGCTTGTCTTGGGACCTGGCCCTCGATTTGCAAATGAATTGCTTCATTGACCGAGTATCATCAGATGCAAAGCCTGCAGACTCGCCCTGTCGCACGCTTGGATATAGGCGAGCCAAATGGTTGAAGGATGATTGCAGTCAGATGGTCGACAGTTTTGCTCTTGTCAGATATCAAGGCAAGCGCAGTCCTGCAGATTCATCGGCTGTGACCCAACTGCTCTTGGGCTGGGTGGTTTGAGCTGCAGTATGAACGCTTGATGTGCAGATCGGCATGTGCACTTTTGATCCGATGCCCCATGCTGCGCGTGAGGCAGCAGGAGGACCTCCAGCGACGCCTGGAGGCGCGCTGCGAGCGCCAGGCGCTGCAATTGGCGCAGGCCACCGAAGGCGCGCTTTCGGCCCCAGCGCGCGCGCGGGGAAGCTCGTGTGAGCGGGGCAACGCTGGGGAGGGGCGGAAGAGTGTGGGACCACAACGAAGACGCCGGGTCCCGCCTTGAAGGGGTTGTCTCGCAACTTGTTGGAAAAACAGGAGGAAGTCAGGATGGTTTAGGGCACAGTGCTGGTTTCGACTTCGTTCGGATCGAGTGTCGCAGAGGCAGGGTCGGGCACCATCTGAGATTTGGCTAAAGAATCTCCAGTAGTGCGCGGTCAATTTGGGAGGGACATACCGGATAACCACTAAAATCATGATGCCTAGGACTTCGCTGGTTGCCTAATAGCCACTAAGGAAACCACTACATTTGGTCGTGGCGTGCGTGCCTTCGCATCAAACGTATTCTCACATCAGTTGGCATTTGCTCCATGCAGGCATCTTCACTTCTGGTATTTCACAAGTCATGATCAACCAAGGGTTGATTGCTCCTGGTTCTTATCCAGCCATACCAGTAGGAGACTACTCCTGGGTTCCCACTGACTGCAGCGCAGGACAGGTTCCCGTCAACACCAGCTTAGAGGGGAGATCCCCTCAGAGACAGAAACGAAAGATCCCCTCTACAAAGGTGACGCCCTTCGCGCTTTCTTTTGGAGACGCTCCCCGTGTAAACTCATCTATCAAATGGCTGTGCCCTTGCTCATGGAAATCCATTGGCGCCGAGAGGCTGTGCCAATTTTCGAGGGCTTGTAAACGCACTTCCATGGCCATTTCTGCGGCACCTGCTGGTTTCCTACCAGTAAGCCGCCCTCCAGCCTTTGAAGAGCACCACTGAACTTCATTTTTTTTGGGAATCCCTAGCGTCTTCAGCCAGATCTGGAATTGTTTGTAGCGTCGTCAGCCGGCTCCTTCCCACGGTCTCGGTCCCACGGCACGCGAGTCACGGAGTCCGATCGATGCATCGCAGGCGTCTCCGAGGCCAAGGCCGCCGCGCTGAGCCTCTGGGAGCAGCGGGGCGCCGAGCTCAAGGAGCGGCGAAATCGGCGGCGGGATTTGTTTTTGGCCCAAAAAACGCCCCGGCAGTTTGCAGACCGAATTTTCCAGGCGAGCTTGAAGGCTCGATTTTTGTTTTCAAAATGGGGGTCTCTTTAGAGGCAAGCCCACATGTTGGTTGTGTTTCAAAGGGTTCCTCCTTCCCTTTGGTTTCCGACTTCGGGTTTTCGGCCGGAACTTTGATTTCATTAAAGAGGATTTGTCTACTCCATTGAACGTGGAACAGCCAAAAAATGCTTGCCGGAACAGCTGTTGAACTTTGGTTTCGGCCGTTGGTTTTCTTCGCTTTTTCTTCTTCTCTCCATTTTGAGCCCCCAGGACGTGGAGCAGCGCCTTGTGGACACGGTGACCAAGCTCGAGGCATCGGATGCCTGTAAAAAGCCGTGGGTTTTGGGTCTGGGGATCCCACCCAAAAAAAGGGCGGACGGAATTGTGGGAAACCACAGTTGGCCAGGTTTATTTAGTAGAGCCCTTCTCTCCCCTTTTTTGGTTGGGAGATTCGGTTCGCCTACTCAAATCGACTGCAGAAAAAAGTTGGTACCAACTTATTCTAACCTCTCTACTGGAGGGCCTAGTTGGGATGGCTGGATTCCCATGGAGGGCGGCTGGATCCCCATGGAGGGCGGCTGGATCCGCATCGCTCGATCCCTGGATCCCAGGCGCTGCGAAGCTGCGGGGCGGAGCAGGGCCAGCAGCTCGCGCAGCTGCAGCGGGGCTGCGCCGAGCTGGGCGAGCTGCGGCGAGGAGCGCTGGCTGTGGGGGTGAAAAACCTGGACGAAATCCATTTCGCACCACCTCAGAAGTGCTGGTGTCTGATGATTCGCCTGTAAATACCAACAAACCACTGGTTTGCCATGGTTTCCAAGTGGTGCAGGATTTTGCCATTTTGGGGTCGGTGCACCACTCATTTTTAGTGGGGATTGGGGTACGCGTTTTTGACCCATGGCCATATGGGAGGGGGAGATGGGGGGGAGAGGAGCAGAAGCGTGCCTTTTAAGGTTCGCACTCCCTGCGTTCATGGACGGACTTTGGTCACTTTTTGGGAAGACAGAACCACTTTCGACTTGTTCTGGAAAGTTTGGTTCAAGTGAGGGTTCGGGTTGGTCAGAAATCGATGGTTTCCACTGGTTTAGACGGGTTTTATTCCCTATAGCGGGCAAAAAGCGCCAAGCGACCCACACCAAAGGTGGCTTTTTCCGCATGGCCATTCGGCGGGCCAAAAACCGGACGCCCAAACTACCAAAAACCACCGAGGGCTTGGCGGTCAGTTTGGTGCTTGGTGTTAGAACGACCAAGAAGTGGGAGGTCGTTGTTGCACATAAGTGACTGGGGTTCGGTGGTTGGTGGTTGGTTTCATGGCTGTGGGGCTAGGGATAGCGCGGGCAGATTTAAATGTCGGACAGCATCCTCAACAAGGCTGTGATACTGTGGACAAAATCCATTTCGCACCACTTTGAAGCCATGCGGAAACCAGTGTTTGTTGGTATTTACCAGAGAATCATCATTCCAGGGTTTCTTAGGTGGTGCAGGATTTCGTCCATCCACTGTACCAGGGACATACCTCAAAAAAGTGATAACGCACTTTTGGTGGAAGGGTCCACTTTGGCAGCGCAGGAAGAAGACATATTTCACAACGGGACGTGGAGGGGGAGGGGAGCATGGTTCTACTATTTGTTTAGATACCGCAAGTTGGAACTGAACCCAGAAATGGGTCATGTACTCATCCTGGGTTTCATCCCTTTGGAGGAAGGGGAGGTTGGATTGGGGTGGGTTTGCTTGGCCTGGTTTGGCCTGGGTTTTGTGGGTTTGGAATGTGCGTGTGAAGGAGTTTTGACTTTGAAGCTTTCTTCCCCACTGGGAGCCTTGATTCATGCCCTTGCGCATACCTTCCTGGCTGATCACCCTTAACATGAGCGATATGGTTGATGCCCTACACGATGCACGATGAACAAGGAAACAAACCGAATTTCTTCTTGCAGTCTCGAAACCTTCTGCAAGCAAGGGCAGGGCTGACGATGGATGTTTGATTATTGACTCACGTTATTCTGGTTGAGCCGGGCTTTCAGTGCATTCTTGGTGAAAAGCCCGAAAAGCCAGCAGGTCTTGCAAATTCTTCTTGCTTTTGGCCAGTGACAGTCCGCCTGCCGCCCTGCTTTGCAAAACCAGGAGCCATGGCTGAGATCGAGAGCTGCCAGTCTGCCGAGAGGCTGGGGGACAAGCCAAGGATCTGTCAAGAAAAGACCCAGCTTTACCATGTTTTTTTTTTTTTTTTTTTTTTTTTTTTTTTTTTAAATGAAAGCATGTATGATATATGATAAGTTATTTTGAGACGTGAGTCCTTTCAGCGCCTTTCGTGGCGGGCAATGCCAACCGAGGGAATTGGATTAGGGCAGGGCTCAGTTTCCGGTGTCCCTTTGAACAAGACCTCGAGCGAGTGCCCGGGTTTAGGGGGCCACTTTTCTGTGAGCCCAGGGAGTCTTGAGCAAGGAACATAAGGAAACACCCTCAAAACTGGCCGGTGGATAGATAAAACTTCATGTAAATGATATTCGTTTAAAGGATTCCAGTTGAAATTGGTAGCCATTTCACATGTCAGTTGTAGATGTGCACATCTTTTCAGCAGATAGCAATAACAATTGGTTTTGTTCTCAAACATTGTCTGTATCTTTGGCATGTGAGCCA